CAGATTTTGGTTCACCAAAAATCTGTCCAAAAAGGGACTGAATTTGTGTGCTAAAGGCTGTCCAAAAGGTGAAAGGACAGCCTGAAATCTGCTATAGCAGGAGCCAAAGAGTCATTTCAGCCACCCTACTAAAAAGCAAGCTACTAGTACCCTATTTTATGATAAAAATATCTAAACTTCAGATTTTAACATCAATATCAGACCACTTACTCAAAAACAAATAACTAGAAACCATTTAACTGATTGAACTATTAACCAACAAGGAGAAAGAGAACTTCAAGATTGAAACCAAGCAAGAAACAAGTATTAACCTATGAAGTACTTAAAACTAATATGCTTGAACCAAAACGAACATTTAGAAATACTAACCTAAAATCAGAACTAAACGACGTAAAGCAAAGCAAAAATACGTCAACAATGACACAAACTAACATAATCAATTAAGCTAAACAAACAACAATAACAACAATAACAAAAAATCAGAAAATAGATTAAGAGCTAAATGAAATGATCACTAAACAGAATTATAACACAACTACAAACAAATGACGGGAAACAGAAAAATCATAACATGGAGAAAAGCATTAAGGTTCGAGTTTTACCAAATTTGAGTGTTCGAACAGTGGTGGCATAGTGACGATTGGGAAGTGGTACGACTTCGAGCAAGCTTCTATTGTTGATATTCTCGAAACCAAAACTCCAGCGAATCAGATTCCGGTTTCAATGATATCAACGACACAACCTTGCTCGAGGCCGGCTTGAGAAGAGAAACGAGAGGCAGTGGTGGTTGAGGGGCGGCAATGGCGGCGGCGGATCGGCAATGGGGCTGGCTGCTGGTGGTGGTTGGTTTTTTTAAGATTTTGAGTTGGAGATATGGAAAGAGGGGGAGAAGAGGAGGCCGGTGGTGTAAAATTTTCGGAGTTTGGGGTGGTGGGCAGCGGCTAGGGTTTCGGTTAGGCTTAGATCTATGGAGATTAAGAAGGGTTATGGGATTTTGGGGTTCGGATTCATGGAGAGGAGGTTGAGCGGAAGAAGTGGTGAAATTTTGGGGTGGATTGGAGGTTGGCCGCTGCCGGTGGGCAATTTTCGGGCGCTGGGGCGGCGTGGGGCAGACCTGGGGAGAGAGAAGAGAGAGTGATGAGAGGGGAAGAAGAAAGGAAATAAGGGGAAAATGGGGAAAATTTTTGGGGGTTTTAGGCTTTATATACTTGGGGTGGGGGATAAATAATAACCATTGGATCATGAGGGAAGGATGGGTGAGATTTAGTCTTTGTTGCTTAAACCAAAACGACGTAGTTTCAAGACAAAACTACGTCGTTTTGAGCTCTTTCTTGGCCAACCAACTAATGGACTGGGTATGGCCGAATTGGGCTCAAATTTTGGGCCAATTTTGGCACAATTTTAATTAAAATATACTAGCCCAATCCCTTTTTCCCTCTAATGAATTAATTAAACTAAAAGTCTAGTTCTAAAATCTCCAACACACAAAAAAATAATTATTCAAAACTACAATGTAAAAGAAAGAAACAAAAATTAGGCATTAACACCTGCCCCTCTTTGCTCGAGAACATAAAGAGTTTTTGTGCAAAGATAGTGAATGCCCTGACTAACTTTTGCTCAGCTATGACTCTAATGAAAGCATTTTTGAAAAGGGGTGACCGAACCTTTTTCCGAGGTTGCCTACATATCCTTGGATGTAAAGGAATCAGGTCAGTGTAGTTTAGTTCTGGAAAAATTTGGTAGCTGGGACTACCAGACACTGGAGTTAAGACTGTTGTTGCTGTTGCTGTTGCTGTTACTCTTACCGTTACTGCTTCTTACATCAAAAGAAAAAGAGAAGAGCACTACATATGTCTGCCAACTAAGAGTACAAAATTCCTATCTACGTGTCTTCTGGAGTAAGATCTTGATTCTTGACTTGCTCTCTTATGTTGACCTTAGACTGGATCTTGATTCTCTTTAAAGAAGAGATTATGACTGAATCTCGATTCTTGTTTTCTGGATCAGAATTTTGAGAAAATGAAACTTGAGAAGTTGTGTTGCCGACACGTTGTCAAAGTTAAACCCAAACTATCCTGTGATCGTCCTTCTGATGATAACTGAAACTGCAAGCTTCGATCGTCATAACCTGTGCTCCGCGGCGAGGCCTGCAAAGCCATCAAAGACGAACAAAACGAACAAAAATTTCTGCCCCAGTTTGGACTAGGAAAATTTTGTGAGTTATCAGAGAAAGCTATAAACTATCTAATTTATTGAAAGGAAGACAGAAACAGTAGTATAAACTAGCTAAAAGAGATAAAATTTTGGTAACGAATGATTGTGCAACTAGGGATTGGTTCACGTACTACTGAAGGGAAATGTAACCAGGGGCTGGCACCCTATCTTACTGGAAGGAAATATAATCAGGTGTTAGCACCATGTATTATTGATAAAGTGTTGAATCCCTCTAGGTTAAAAAGGTTCAACCTGAGTTAAGCTACGTAAAACACCCTGAGCGAAGAGTACTTCTACTCGGAACTATGAGCTGGATTCCCCTGGGCGAAAGGATTCTTCCTGAGTTAAGCTGTGTAAAACACCCTGAGCAAAGAGTATTTCTACTCGGAAACTATGAGCTGGATCCCCGTAAGCGAAAGGATTCTACCTGAGTTAAGCTGCGTAAAACACCCTGAGCGAAGAGTATTTCTACTCGGAACTATGAGCTGGATCCCCCTAGGCGAAAGGATTCTACCTGAGTTAAGCTGCGTAAAACACCCTGAGCGAAGAGTACTTCTACTCGGAAACTATGAGCTGGATCCCCTTAGGCGAAAGGATTCTACCTGACTTAAGCTACGAAAACACCCTGAGCAAAGAGTATTTCTACTCGGAACTATGAGCTGGATCCCCCTAGGCGAAAGGATTCTACCTGAGTTAAGCTGCGTAAAACACCCTGAGCGAAGAGTACTTCTACTCGGAAACTATGAGCTGGATCCCCCTAGGCGAAAGGATTCTACCTGAGTTAAGCTGCGTAAAACACCCTGAGCGAAGAGTACTTCTACTCGGAAACTATGAGCTGGATCCCCTAGGTGAAATGGTTCTACTTGAGTTAAGCTACGTAAAACACCCTGAGCGAAGAGTACTTCTACCCGGAAACATGAACTGGATCCCCCTAGGCGAAAGGATTCTACCTGAGTTAAGCTGCGTAAAACACCCTGAGCGAAGAGTACTTCTACTCAGAACTATGAGCTGGATCCCCCTAGGTGAAACGGTTCTACCTGAGTTAAGCTGCGAAAATGGGAGGTGTGAACAATAGTGATGCATGCTAAATAAAGAAAAATGGAGATTTTAAGGAGCTTACGTTTGGTGACATTCGTTCTTTTAGGATCGCCATTCTGCATTGTTTTGTTCCTGCTTCCAACAAAGAAAAATTTATGAGTTTTCAAAGTGGTGGTTGGTTTGTGGCCTTGATGCCTTGAGTAGTTTGATTCACGACCACTGCTGTCGAAGAACCGATTCTTTCAGCGTTGTACCGAGTTGCTTGGCTGCTTTGTATCATTTTCTGGAGGCCTTGGCTTTCCAGTGTTGCCCCCAACTGTTTCATACCCTGATGTCCATGGTGTCGCTGCCCTTGTCTCTTAGGCAAGGCTATTTTTCTTTAAAATCGAACTCAGTTGTTTTGCACCCAGTATCAGTTTGTGTCTGTAGTGCTTATCAACTTTTCTCATGAAACGGGTCTTGCTCATGCATTTTCAGTTTCTTTGAAACACTTTGTTCGCTTTATCAAATGAGGTCTCAAATGGATTCGTGCCTTCGTCAATGCTATATATGCCCCAAATTGTGCTCGATATTACGGGGGAATTGTAGCTAGTTTTGCAGCCATTTCTTTGCTTTGCTTTTGATGCAGGATTAGACCGAAAGGGACTCAAAGAAAAATTATGGGTAAAAACGGAATAATAATTGGAAGTGAAAAAGAACTGTGTTTAAACAAAAGGTGTCCCTTTCGAGGAAAGGAATATGGAGACTTATCATGACATGCATTTTGGACTGGATGCCTGATCCGTCTAAGCTGTCTAATTCTCAAAATCCGCCGCAAACGTTCATCTTGAATTTGTCTTGGTTGTGCTCATGCCGGAGAATCAAAGACCCTCATTCGGCTAGTAGCGCCTTTTGCAGGTTTTCGCTAACTAACCTCTCTCATTTCTCTACTAACCGTCGCCTTATGGTGCCCATCTGGGTTTTCACCAATAAGACTCTCTCATTTCTCTACTCACTGTCGCCTTATAGTTCCCGTACGGGTTTTCACTGATAAGACTCTCTCATCTTTTTTTTTTGAATAAGATACTGCATGAGGGAGGTTACCCAACGCCTTTGGCATGGGGACTTCAAACATTCTCAAAAGACATCGATCAGAAGTTCTTGAAAGGTAAAAAGGCGAAATGAGCCTTGAACTGAATTACAACTTTTGGAACCGTTTTTTACAGAAAAACCGTGAAATAAAACAAACTTCTGCCCCAGTTTTGGAGTATTGGGAATATGGATTTTTTGTTCTGATGGGACCGAACCCAGGGTAAGGCTGCCTACGTATCCTTTCGGAATCAGGTCGGACGTAGTTCAATGACTCAGAGATTTGTTGTTTGGTTTTTTTTTCCAAGTACATAGGTTCTAAAAAGTGAGAAACAAGGAAGACAAATACTGCTCAAAAGGGTTAACAAAAGGGTGACACCTATTTGGAATAGCGAGCAAATGATAGCCTTCGTCACTTCGATCTGAGAAAATCAATGCGTGAAAATTCTACAGTGGGTATATATCAAACATAATATCTTTTGACTGCATCTGCGTTAATATTCATGTCCGTTACCCGTCCTTCTTCATCTACAAAGTGCAAGGCCCCTTTTGGTAACACTTTCTTGATGATGTAGGGTCCTTGCCAGTTCGGGGCGAACTTTCCTTTAGCTTCTACCTGGTGCGGAAGGATGCGTTTCAAAACCAGCTGGCCTACCTTAAACCTACTTGGGCGCACTTTCTTATTGTAAGCGCGTGCCATTCTTTGCTGGTATAACTGGCCAAAACACACTGCTGCTAGTCCGTTTTTCATCGATCAACATCAGTTGTTCTAATCGGGTCTTGACCGACTCAGTGTCTTCAATCTCTAATTCCACAATAATTCGGAGAGAGGGAAGTTTGACTTCAACAGGTATTACAGCTTCAATTCCATATACAAGCAGATACGGAGTTGCACCAACAGATGTGCGAACAGTCGTGCGGTACCCCAAAAGAGCAAAAGGCAACTTTTCATGCCATTGTCTGGAACCTTGGATCATCTTCCTAAGAATCTTCTTGATGTTCTTGTTCGCCACTTCAACGGCTCCATTGGCTTTTGGCCGGTAAGGGGTAGAATGGTGATGCATGATTTTAAATTGTTCGCATACCTCCTTTATCAAATGACTATTTAGATTGGCTGCATTGTCAGTGATAATGGTCTTTGGGATACCAAAGCGACAGATGATGTTGGAATGAACAAAGTCTACCACTGCTTTCTTGGTTACTGCTTTGAAAGTGACGGCCTCCACCCACTTGGTGAAGTAATCAATTGCAACCAAAATGAATCTATGCCCATTTGAAGCCTTTGGCTCGATTGGCCCAATAACATCCATTCCCCAAGCAACGAAAGGCCAAGGAGAGGACATGGGATGCAACTCCGAAGGAGGCGAGTGAATCAGATCACCATGAATCTAGCATTGGTGACACTTGCGAACAAAACTGAAGCAATCTCGCTCCATAGTAAGCCAATAATACCCTGCCCGCAGAATCTTCTTCGCCAAAACATATCCATTCATGTGAGGTCCGCATACCCCCGAATGCACTTCACTCATGATCCGCTCTGCTTCTGTAGCATCTATGCATCTCAACAAGTTTAAATTTGGGGTCCTCTTGTACAGAATTTCCCCATTCAGGAAGAAACCACTGGCGAGCCGCCTTATAGTTCTTTTTTGATCTCCTTTAGCATGCTCTGGATATTCTCTTATTTTAAGGAATCGTTTTATGTCATGATACCATGGTTCACCATCTGGTTCTGTCTCAAATGTATTGCAGTAACCGTGTTGATTCCGAACTTGGATTTCTAGTGGATCAATATGAGTGTTGCCTGGATAAGGGAGCATCGAGGCTAAAGTAGCCAAGGCATCGACTAGCTCGTTGTGAAACCTGGGAATATACCTGAACTCGATGGATTTGAATCTTTTGCTCAAGTCTTGCACACATTGTCTGTACGGAATAAGCTTGATGTCTCGAGTCTCCCATTCGCCTTGGGCTTGCCGGATAAGCAAGTCAGAATCTCCCATAACCAATAGTTCATGCACATCTAGATCGATGGCCATTTTCAAACCCATGATACAAGCTTCGTATTCTACCGTATTTTTGGTACAGAAGAACCGAAGTCGGGCCGTTGTAGGGTAATGGTATCCAATAGGTGAGATGAGGATTGCCCCGATCCCAACTCCTTTGATATTGACAGCCCCATCAAAATACATTTTCCATACAGGGTGATCGTCTGGAACCACTTCCCTCTATTGAGTTGACCTCTTTGTTTGGGAAGTATGTGCTAAGTGGCATATACTCATTATCAACTGTATTATCTGCCAAATGATCTGCCAAAGCGTGTGCTTTCATCGCGGTGCGAGTGACATAGACGATGTCAAACTCTGTGAGCAGGATTTGCCATTTTGCGAGCCTGCCAGTGGGCATTGTCTTTTGGAAGATGTACTTCAAAGGATCCATTCTGGATATGAGGTAAGCAGTCTAGGCCAAAAGATAATGTCTAAGCTTCTGAGCGACCCAAGTCAAGGCACAACATGTCCTTTCTAAAAGGGTGTACTTAACCTCATAATTGGTGAACTTCTTGCTCAAATAATAGATTGCATGTTCCTTTTTGCCTGTTGCATCATGTTGCCCCAGAACGCATCCAAAGGAATTATCCATCACCAATAGATATAAAAACAAAGGCCTACCAGGTTCAGGCAGAACCAGTATAGGGGGTTTTGACAGATAATCTTTGATCCTGTCAAAAGCTTTTTGGCAATCGTCTGTCCATCTGATAGCGGCATCCTTTTTCAGCAACTTAAAGATAGGCTCGCACGTGGTTGTGAGCTGAGCAATGAACCTACTTATGTAGTTCAACCTCCCGAGCAAACTCATGACTTCTTTTTGTTCTTCGGGGGTGGCAGTTTCGAATGGACTTTATCTTAGATGGATCCAATTCGATGCCTCTCCGGCTGACTATAAAACCGAGGAGTTTCCCAGATGGAACCCCAAATGCACACTTGGCTGGATTAAGCTTAAGGTCATACCTTCGAAGCCGTTCGAAGAACTTTTTCAAATCACACACGTGATCAGCTTGTGTCTTTGATTTTATGATGACATCATCGATATATACTTCAATCTCTTTGTGCATCATGTCGTGAAAAATGGTGGTCATGGCCCTCATGTAGGTTTCCCCTGCATTCTTTAAACCGAATGGCATGACCCTGTAACAATAAGTACCCCATGGCGTGGTGAAAGCGGTCTTTTCTGCATCATCCTCATCCATTAGAATTTGGTGGTACCCAGCATAGCAATCCACGAACGATTGTATCTCATGTTTTGCGCAATTATCTACAAGAATGTGGATGTTTGGCAAAGGAAAATTATCCTTTGGGCTTGCTTTGTTCAGGTCCCTATAGTCGACACAAACTCTGGTTTTTCCATCCTTCTTTGGCACAGGCACAACATTTGCCACCCAGGTGGTGTATCGGACAGCTCTGATCACATTGGCGCTTAGTTGCTTCATTATTTCCTCTTTGATTTTGTCACTCATGTTTGTTTTAAATTTTCATTGCTTTTGTTGGACTGGTCGAAAACCAGGATACGTAGGAAGCTTATGAACCACCAGATCAGCACTTAAACCCGGCATATCATCGTAAGACCAAGCAAACACATCTCTGTATTCAAATAAAAGTTGGATCAAGGCATCTCTGGTTTTTTGTTCAGTGTGAATTCTTATCTTCGTTTCTCTAACTTCTTCAGGACATCCGATATTAATCGGCTCAGTTTCATTGAGGTTTGGCTTAGGCTTGTTTTCAAATAGTTCCAACTCTCTTTTTATTTCCTCAACAACCTCATCTTCATCATATTCAACCTCTTGATGCATTATTTCGATATTAGATAGCTTTGTAAGATCTGGGCGTGAATTGCATGCATGTCATGTTATTAAAGCCTCGCATTAACAAAACTGAAATGGAAATAAAATGACAGGAATTAGGAAAAGGAAAAGATAGAAAACTTAATAGGAAAGTGAACTACATTCCATTGAATTCGAAAGGATAGAAGGGTTAACATCAAAACAAAACAATCATACTGAGATGTTTGGATTACAACCCTGAAAGTAACCCAAAATACAAAAAAGAAGCTGCAAAAGCAAACTACCAAGACTCCCTCCTTGTGGGGAGAGGAGTTGCTTCCCAGTTGGTGAGCATGGTGTCTGGGTCAATTAGTTGCATATCGGCACGACTAGTGCCTTCACCAGCCTGGATCATATTCACTTCAGGAAATATCTGGCTGAGGCCATGGCAAATTTCATCAATGTTTGCATGCGCCGAGGAATTTTGACCCCCTCGGAGTCCTGTCTTGACAAAAGTGTAGAAAATGTGAGGGATAGGCTGTTGCAAGACCCATCCATGCTTTTTGCGATGTTTGGCTTTGTTTTCATCTGCTTGTGTTTGCCGGAAGCCTAATCCAAATGTACCCTGGTTACCGAACGGAGAAATAGGCTCCGAAATTCCTTGCAATGATGCCCCCAAGCCTTTTCCTGGTTCATAACCTTGTCTCATCATAATTGCAGCCACCATTACAGATGTGGCAGAAAGACGAGGATATAGAATGGGCTTTCCTTCCTCGACATGGTCAACAACAACCACTTCATAAGCCTGATAGACAATGGACTCAGACCCTTCCTTGGCCTCAATACAGGGGATTAACGGGTCTTTATAAATGGAAGACTCGTCTTCTCCGGTGAACAATAATTTCTTGCGTGTCATGTTTGAATTTGAGCATCTGATGCAAGGTGGATGGCACAGCTCGGGCCGTATGGATCCATGGCCTTCCAAGAAGAAAGTTATAAGAAGTGGCCATGTCCACTACCTGGAAGACAATCTCAAAGTCAACTGGCACAATCGTCATGGTGAGGTTGATCTCCCCAATGGTATCTCTTACTGAGCCATCAAAGGCCTAGATGCGAACATTGCTGGGTCGTATTCTGTTTGTATCGATCTTCATGCTTTGCAAGGTAGAGAAAGGTCATACGTCTACACTTGAGCCTCCATCAAGCATGACTCGCTTTACATAATGACCCTCACATCTGACCATCAAGTTCAAAGCCCTATTGTGCCCGGCCCCCTCCTCGGGAAGTTCATCATCAGTAAAGGAGATTCTGTTCACCTCGAAAAATCTGTTGGCCATCTTCTCTAACTGATTCACTGTGGTCTCCTCTGAGATATGTGCCTCGTTCAGGACCTTGATTAGTACACGAGCATGCTCTTTGGAATGTAGGAGCAGAGATACTAGAGAGATTTGAGCGGGAGTCTTTCTTAGCTGGTCAATAATTGAGTAATCCTGAACTTTCATCTTTTTCAAAAACTCTTCCGCATCTGCTTCAGTGACTGGTTTCTTTATTGGAAAATGGCCTTCTCTAATTTGCTTGGCCTTCCTCAACTCTTCTGGAGAGTAACATCTCCCTGATCGAGTCAAACCTCCAGTTTCCCCCACTTCCTCTATGATTTCCTTGCCTTTGTAGGTCATCACCATTTTGTTGTAGTTCCAAGGAGTGGTTTTTGTGTTGGTTACCGGGGGTTGCATGGCAGGTTTGATTACGATCGGCTCTGTTATACCTTTCGTACCTCCATGCTTCTCCCTTTTAACGGGGTGGCCTCCAAGTACATATAACCTTGGGCTTGCAACACTGGAGTGAACTTCCAACCTCAAGATCTTTGGAACAAATAAAGTTGCCTTATTTGAGCTCTAGGTGCCTTTCACAATCAATGGCACATCTCGGCTGGGACTTACTTCCAGACCTTCTCCTTCTTGAATTGCACCCACTGTCATTTCTGCTCGACCGACCGACTTGTATTCTTGATCTCGGCCAATCATTCCCACAAAATGAACATCATTGTGTGCTGGCAATGGGTTGTTTGTCACGTTAGGAGGGTCCTCGCCATTCGTCACTACAATCAATTTTTCATAAATGAGTCTCTCTATGGCTCTTTTCAGAGTCCAACAGTCATCAGTGCTATACCCTGGGGCACCGGAATGATATTCACATCTAGCATTTGCTTGAAATCCATGCGAATCGGGATGCATATGGTGGGGAGCGATGGGTCCAATTACGCCCATCTGCTTCAGCTTCTGGAATAGACTAGAATATGATTCAGCTAATGGAGTGAATTTTTCTACCGGCCTCTGCTCTCGACCATAATACTGCCTGGGATGAGCATTGTAGGGTGCTCGAAAATTTTGTTGCTGAGGTCGGGGGGGGCCTTGGAGCTGGTGCCCTACCTGCTGATTGGTAGGCCGAGCATATGATTGAGCATTGAACACTGTATATTGTAGTGGGCCCACACAGTATTGAGGAATTGGCGGGGGATAATAATGTTGAGGGTAGCTGGATTGCCCTGCTGAACTTGCACATAAGGGTGTGATGCCCCTTTTTGAAACTCTCTAGATCCCGAAGCCATCATGGACCCTTCATCTCTCTTCTTTCTATTTGCCAAACCTCCCGACCTATTTTGGATAGCTTGGGTGGTGGCTTTGAGAGCATCTTGACTTACAATTCTGCCAGTCTTGAAGCCATTTTCGACCATCTCCCCTATTTTGATTGCTTCTGCAAAAAGGTCTACCCATCGCGGACATCATGTTCTGAAAGTAATCAGGCTCTTGAGCCTCCAGAAAAACCGTGATCAACTCGTGGTTATCCATGGGTGGCTTAACTCTAGCCGCTTGCTCCCTCCACTTGATGGCATACTCCCTAAAACTTTCGGTCGGCTTTTTCTTCATATTGGACAAGGAATTACGATCTGGCGCAATATCAAAGTTGTACTGAAACTGTTCGACGAAAGCCTGGGCCATGTCATCCCAAACATGCCAATGAGAGATGTCTTGGTCAACGAACCATTCGGAAGCTACCCCCACAAGGCTTTCCCCAAAGTAAGCCATCAGCAGCTCTTCCTTTCCTCATGCACCCCTTAGCTGGTTGCAATACCTTTTCAAGTGGGTGATAGGGTCGCCGTGTCCATAATATTTCTCAAATTTTGGGGTCTTGAACCCTCATGGAAAATGGATGTGAGGGAACATGCATAGATCA